TGTCTTAACATTTTGCTGTAATTGTTTCATATATATATACACACACAGATATATATATATTATATATATTATACACACACACACACACAGAGAAAGAGAGACAGACAGACAGACAGAAACAGAGACAGAGACAGAGAGAGACAGAGTTTCACTCTTGTTGCCCAGGCTGGAGTGCAATGGCGTGATCTCAGCTCACCGCAACCTCCACCTCCCAGGTTCCAGTGATTCTCCTGCCTCAGCCTCCCATGTAGCTGGGATTACAGGCATGTGCCACCATGCCTGACTAATTTTGTATTTTTGGTAGAGACAGGGTTTCTCCATGTTGGTCAGGCTGGTCTTGAACTCCCCACCTCAGGTGATCTGCCCGCCTTGGCCTCCCAAAGTGCTGGGGTTTGAACCACTGCACTCGGCCTCCAGATATATATTTTAATCAAATACAAAGCATCAGTGATATAATAGTCCCCAGATATTTTGAAACGCTTACATGCTGGGCAGCATGTTAGGTGCAAAGCCTACACATCAATGATCGATATAGCCCGAGGCCCAGATCTCTTGTGACTTGCTCAAGTTTTACTAGGAGAGACAGTTACTAAACAAATGAAAATGTAATTAAATACCATCAGCAAATGAATAAAGACAATGTGGTATGTGTACATAATGGAATATTGTTTAGCCATAAAAATGAATGAAATATTGTCATTTTCAGCAATATAGAAGCAATTAAGTTAAGTGTAAAGGGCCAGAAACACAAAGACAAATATCACATGTTTTCACTCCTATGAGGGAGCTGAAAAAGTGGACCTAATGGAAGTAGAAGAGTAGAATCATGGTAACCAGAGCCTGAGAAGAGGAGGAGAGGTAGGGAAGAAAAGAAGTTAGTTAAGTGATACAGAAATACACTTAGATAGAAGAAATAGGTTCTACTATTCAATAGTACAGTAAGGAGATTAGAGCTAATAACACTTTATTACATACATATTTCAAGGTAGCTAGATGATAAGATTTGTAATGTTCCCAAAGCAAGAAAAAATAAGAGACAATGAATATCCCAGTTACCTTCATTGCTCATTACACATTTTAAGTATACAAGTACCAAAATATCACATGTACTCCAAAATATGTACTATTATATATCAATAGAGCAACATGTTTTAAAAAGTATCAAATACTTTTTCATGCTATGACAAAAGGTATAATGGAGTAAGCGAGTAGTGTCTGAGTGAGTCCTTTTTTTTTTTTTCTTTGGTTATTTTTGAGGAGGGGTTCTTATGTATCTACTTTAACCGATTTTGACTTGAGGCCATTGGACCAAAGAATAACTACAAGTATAATGCGCTTGTTACATCCCAAATTTTCAATTAGCTGTTTTCATATCAAATATTGCTGGTGAAAATATAAGCTTTAGCAATCTTTTTTAAAAAAATTACTATTTTTTGGAGCAGCTTCAAGCAAGAAATATAAAATTCTCATATATCCCCCACACTGCCCCTACAGGTCCTTGCCACACATCCTCCACCAGAATGGTGCACTTTTTAACAATCAGTGAACCCAAATCCACATGCCAATATCACCCAAAGAGTTCACTGCTAGTGTTGTCCATTCTGATGGATTTTGACTCATATCTACTGACATATATCTACCATTATAGTATCATACAAAATAATTTCACTGCCCCTCCTTTGTGTTCATCCTATTTGTCCTCCTCTCGTGAAACTGCTGGGAAATATCTTTTTACTGTCTCCATAGGTTTGTTCTTTCCATAATGTCATATATTTGGAATCATACAGTAGGTAGCCTTTTTACATTAGCTTTTTTTTTTATATTAGTAATATGCATTTATGTTTCCTCCGTATCTTTTCATGGATTGAGATATTTTTTAAAAAGGCTTTAGAAACTACAGTGTGTGTGCAAAACCCATCTTGGACCTTGGAATTTAATATAATCGTATTTTACTAGGATAGGTAAGATCCAAAATGGATAATAAGAGATTTTATCTAGGCAAGAAGGCTTACTTTATGAAAAATGCCTTCAATAACATTAGTTTTATTTAACTGTCAGTTCTAAGGACTCTAAATTAGATGATGCTTGGTGGTTATCAAGTCAGTTTAATGGACATGAATCACACTGAATCCTAGCAGAAGATTCTTTAATTTGTAAACAGAGTTTTTGGAACAATAAACCATGGGCTCTTGTGTATGAGTGTGCATGTGTGTGTTTAATATAATTAATAGGCAGATTAGTGGCCTGAAATTTGTACAGAATAGGAAGTTTTATTTTTTTCTTCCAAAGGTAACTCAAACTGGACCTGGCTTAGTGTTTAAACCCTAGAAGCAGAGACGTCTTACAAGTAAACATTTTAAATAGTGTGCATACCCATGCATTTCCACAGTTTATATAGCCATACTAAAGAAAATACCAGATCTGCCTACTTATGTTGCTTGGAATAATTATACATTACTCATTATTTCAACCGTATTTATATGAGACGTTCTATTCGACTCTGTATTTGCACATTATTTTCTGTATCTTTAGGCTGCATATTTGTATTTGAAAATATTCAATGAAAGTATATAATATAGTGGTAGATAACAAGTTTGTTCCATTAGGTTGCACAATAGAAATGGAAATGTGGCTTTATGAAATAGATTATTATCATTAAAATTGTATCTTTGATTATAAAAGTTATATTTAAAGTAGATAATCAAACCATGTCTTAAAATTTTCCTTGGACTATATTTGGGGCTAATTTTATTCTAATTCTCATTCTGCGTTATTATTCCAAGGCAGTGAGAGCAGATAATTAAATTAACTGGGACTTTGCAACTAATTTTCAGATTTTTTAGAACATATGCTGCCTTTCATTTTCTAATTTATTCAAACTTTGACTTGGCAAGTTATTTTCCCCTCCAAATTAACATAAGGATCAATTTCACAGAATAATAACATTTTAAGAAAACTGAGTAGCATAGTATAGACGATCAGAAATAAATTAACATTTTTTGATTATGAATATTCCTGAACACCTGGAGAGCCAGATTTGAAATGGCAGGATAGCAGCCAACTACTGCCCCGTTTTTAAATCGGTGAGTTCACCATTAGGTCATGTCAGTCATCTGAAGAGTCAGGGTTTCATTCCTTAAGACATAACTTTTCCATGGCGACATCATTGCAACTGGACGCTTTTCCAGTTAGGGATCGTGTTTGACTGCCTATAGCAGAAACCTGTCTATTGGGCTTAACCACATAGGGATAAATTTTATCACATAGCAAGAAAGTCCAGGGATGGTATAAAGTGACTTCTCCAAACCATCCGAGTCCAGGCTCTCTACCGATCTCTGCTCAGATACCTTTAATTCAAGGCCTTCATTTCGATATTCAAAAGTTGGCAACTTCATGTCTAGAGATTGCATTCTTGCTCCATGTAGTTAAAAGAGTCAAGGACAAAAGACAAAAGAAAAAGGCTGGCAGTATCAGTTCCTTGGTCTGTTCAGGCTGCTCTGCCAGCATACAATATACCAGGAATTTATTTTTCACAATTCTGGAGGCTGGAAAGTCTGACGTCAAAGCATGGCCACATTAGTCTGGTAAGGTTCCCATCCCTGATAGGCAGCCGTCTTCTCATTGCATCCTCCACGATGGAAGGGACAAACTCCAAGTCTCTTTCATAGGGCACAAATTTCATTCATTAAGTGTGAACCCTTTGTGGTATATGCTTCTACAAGAGGCCCTACTGCCTAATACCATCACATTAGGGGGTAGCATTTTAACATATAAATTTTGGGGGGAGCACACACTTAGCAGCCAGCTAAGTCAGTTCTCTTAAACAAACAAAAACAAAAATCATTTCCAGGAATAGCCAACTGGCTATTTCCACTGAAATCTCAATGGTGAGGACTGTATCAGATGACAATGACAACCCTTAACTCTTAAGTGAGGCCTCACTGTGAGTACATACAACTGGGAACACTGGAATACTGTCACACACTTGCACACAGATCACAGTTCTCTTAGAAAAGAAGGATGAGGAAACAAATACTAAGTAGGCAACTAGGAGCTTTTACATGGAAACTAAGTGTGACTTAGGCAAGAATTATTCAACCTAAACTCTACCTGTTTTTGGTATAAATTTTTCCACTTTTAATCTACTTCCCAACATGTAGTAACTGTAATTACTGCTAGTCACAAATTTTGTTCAAAATACTAGCTCCATAATTTTTACATTCCTTTTATTCCACTGGTTTCTCAGTTGCCTAGTTCCAGTGTTCTCTGCAGTCACCATGCCTGAGCTGCTCACCAGCGTGGCTGCGTCTGTTACCATGTAATATTCATTCATTTCCCACACCTTTCTCTATCGGTCCCCTCATACCATCATCTCCTGTCCTTCTACTTTCCCCACTCCCTTACTCTCACTGAATCTGATCTCTGCCATCTTTGTGATTTGTGGGCATTCAAACTTCTAAGTCTGGCAAACAATCAGGTCCCTTCTAAATTTCTTTGCCACCTCCTTCCCCTGTCCTCACATCCCCATGTCATGAATCTGGTAATTGACAATTTTATCAGTGCACTCATTTTAGCAGTACACTCAATTATCCTCAAGTCCCCATTGACTTTCCACAGAGTATCACCAAGACCTTGTGTATAAGACCACGTATTTTGCTGTGTCCCAAGATAGTATGAATTCCTAGAAGCCACAGATGGTTGTATACAACCTCTGCCACCCTTATCCCCCATGCAAATAGGAAACAAAGAGTTGGGAGGCCTTAATTTTATATCACCACCATTCTACTAGGGAAGTGAAGCATACCTCTTTACATTCAGTGCATTATGTGTGTATGCAGGGGGGTGGGTAGGCCCTAGATCAACAATATTAATACTTTTGATCTCTGAAAAAATAAATATCTGATACTATTCACTAAGTATTGTTTATTATAATACAATAATTCAACTATAGAAAGCAGTAGTCTCTGAAATCTCAGCAATGTGTGGAATCTTTACCCTAGGGCACAGATACTATGTACTTCCTTCGCTGAACCTGCTGGATCTCAAGATTATGAAATATTACAGAAAGAAAGAAAAAATTCTGGGAATCAAGTAGTTCACCAATACATCTCACAGAAACAAAATGAACAATTGCTCAATGGAATAAAAGAGTCAAAAATCTCATAATAAAGAATAAACCTTTTGGCAATTAAAACTTACTATGACTTTTGGAGATATAAACTTCTTGAACTCTTACTCAGTGCTGGGGAATTCATTTTTGCTAGATATGCAGGACTCTGTTAACATAGGCTACCAGCCAGCACTTACATGAACTCTTTGTTATGATAAACTTTTTACTGCAATGGTGCATGTAGGAGGGATTTGACCTGCATATGCCCTGAGAATTCTTTTCCAGAATATAACTTACTTTGACAAGGCATTTAAAAACATGGGTATACTTTAAATAAAGATGCCTTCAGACTTCAGTATCCTGTGCCCTTTAAAATCACAACCACTCAAAGAAATAATTGTTTGATTTCAAAATAAAATAAGTATAAAGACATACTTACTAATGATATGAATAAAATAATTACTATTAACTAATCATAGTGTTTATTAGATATGATGCCAAAAATCGACGTTGAAGATCTCTTTCTTGGTACAAATGTTACCTGAAAACATACATACTTTTGTATATATCCTATATGTTTACTTTTCAATTCTTGTGAAGTTAGACCACAGGGACATCTAATTCTGTAATCTTATAGTTCTAAATCTGGACATAAGAGGAACAAGAATGTTCAACTAAAACTTCTTTAATATTATGCTTAAGATTTTAGTAAAATGTAGTAAGAGTGGTATGTGAACTCTGAATGAGTTCTATATGAGCACTAAGAACAAGCAAAATTTACTGATTGGCACCAATTATGTAAAGGATGCTGCTGTAGGTGCTTCTTTGGCTTGGGCTTGAAGTGAGATGCTATATGTAGGTATAAATATGACTATAGATTCAAGAGATTCCATTATAACTCAAAACATGCGAAGCATCACAAAGCATCATGGGTGATGCATTCGTCACGTCTTAAGCTAGCTCTCATGTTACACACATGTGCATTTTATCTATGATAACATTAGCAACATTTTTATCTGGGTTAAAACTCCAGCATTAAAATCATTACTCATCATTTCTCACAAAATATTGACCCTTCCCACTCCCAGCAGCACCACAACACACCATTTTTGGAAATAAGAGAGATGGTGATAGAGTACTATATTCTTATCCTATAAACCTTTGAAAAACTTTGTTGGAATAATCAATACTGCTTTTAGTCAAATATTCCCAGCTTATCTTTTTCAGGTACCTGGTAGGATTCCTCCCTTCCTTTGAAATTCTCTATTCTGGGAATCGAATTTGACTTTTTAATTTGTTTTGGCCAGCAAAATGTGTGAAGTGCTGTTAGTAGCTGTAGAGAGAAGCTTTTAAAGCTAATTTGTAACTAATCATTCTCTCTCTCCCTCTGGCATGATAACAGGCACTATTAAAACACTGACCACACCATCAGTCTGGACCCTTTACTGACCACAATGAACAGAGACCTCTGCCAACCATGATATAAGAAGGTAGAAATAGAAATAAGGCATGACTGAGAAACAAACCTGCGTTATTTTAGGTCATGAAGACTTTTGCATTTTAATACTGCATCACACGTTAGCCTATCCTGATACAAGTGGGAATGTTAACTTACTGCTCTGGGACTGAACTGTCATGCAAAACCTGAGCCAACAATCACAGTCGAATATTAATTTAAGATCTATATTCCTTGTACTTATTCATTCAGGAAACATTGGAGGGTTAGGATAACATTGATACCTTTGCTAGACTTGGGAGTATAAAGATGAATTAGTTGTGGTCCTTGACCTCAGTAACCTTATATTCTAATGCGAATTTCTGAGATGTAATTAAATAAAATAATAAGAAATTTATTTTGCAGTGGGTTCCCATTAGTCTGATTTTGCAGGTAGTCAAGCTTTCCATGGCAACCATTGCTCTAAGGACATTATTCTAAGCTGAGAAAACACCCTTTGCAAAGAATGAAATTATAAAAAGCTATTTAGATTATGATGATAATCTTACTGCAGCTGAGGTGCATGTCTATATTAATTAGAATATGTATGTCCAAGGAGAGAGAAGAATTCCAAGTTGATTTTTATATTTTCCCCACTTTAGTTAGCAAAATAACAAAATATTTAGAGTTTGTGCTAAGCACCATCAGGGTAATTCCAATCTATAGCTTATATTGAGACAGGATTCCTGTAGAAATAATTCAAAAGCATATTTTCCCTTGTTATATTTATTATGGTTTCAGAAGAATTTGGATGTGCATGGCTGAATAACTTTACAGCTTAATTTATTGAATAGTTTTGAATATTTGAAAGTGTGTACTTTTCCCTTTATTCAGTTATGAGAACCGAATTTAGCATTTTGTAAAAAACTTTCAACAAAAAAAGTCTTTATTATCCTACGTTGCCGCTTAACAAAGTCCATGTGGAAATTCTGCTTGATACCAGGTGGCCTGTCTTCTCAGGAAGTGCATTTTCACAAAAAGGGGTTGTCAGGAAAAGGTGTCATATATTCATTGGGTAGCTTTATTGTATTTAATTTTTTTCTTTATTTTTATTCAAACCGTATTTTAGGAAATAAATCAAAATATGCTAGGATTTTTTTTTTTTCTTCTTCTCACACATATGAAATCCTCAGCCACATCACTTTCTGGTTTTCCTGCTCTTGTAAAAAATGTCTATTGGGTTGCTTAGACTCTTGTCACTTCTAACAGCTAATAAAAATGTCCACACCGAAGTATCCATCCACAGGCCAACTTTTTGTATCAATTTTGTGTTTATGTTTTAGGAAGTTTCAGTTCAGTTATTGTGTGTTGTAGGAAGATGGTAGGAAATAGAACACTATGTCATGGTACCATTTTTCTCAGTACACTATATATAAATTGTGGTGGATATACAAATTGAATCACATCTAGAATAAAGCTATAGCCAACTTCCACTTCCTCAGCAATCACAGCAATATGTTATAAACTCTCCCGCATGTGGTATTAAACGCTCTATTTTGAGTATCTCTGTGATTGCAACTTTTCTTTAGATCTGAAGAAGACATTTAAATTTCCAATTGCTGGCTTCACTTAAAATTGGTTTTCATTTATCCTGATCTGTATGCCTGATCCGATGCAACTACCATGGTGACATAGAACTCTTTTTCTGGTCTTGATTCCTTTTACATATGGTTCACTAGCTCTTGCCTACAAGTCTGTCTTAAAACACTCATTTTTTTTCCTACTTATTCTGTTTTGTTTAGTTCTGTTTGGGTTTGTTTAGGGAGAGAGGGTCTCATTCTGTCTCCCAGGCTGGAGTCCGTGGTGCAAACATAGCTCACTGCAGCCTGGAACTCTTGGACTCAAGCAGGACTCAACTCCTGCCTGAGCCTCCCTGAGTGCTGGGACTACAGATATGCCCTACCACGTACGGCTCCTACCTACTGCGTACCCATTTGGTCCAGAACTGCTTAATGTTCTTCATTTCTAAGAGCATTTTATGATTAGACATACTTGGATAAAAAATTATTGGAGTCTCAGGTAGTACATGTTTAAACAAAAAATCTATGTATATTAATCCATGCTTCTCAAACATTAATGTGCAGGAACCAACTGGGGTGTTTCTAAAATTCAGACTCTGCAAATCTGACTAGCTCCCAGGTGATGTCACTGCTGACCATCCAGACCATGCTTTGAGTAGAAACGTGTTACTCTAGCAATATCGGACATCACCTGGAAATGATATAATCAATTATTGAAAATATTTACTCAACATTAACTACAACTGAAACAGCAAGCATTGCACTGCACTGGATTCTAATGATTAACTAGTGAGCAAAACAATCAAGATCCTTGAATCTACAACTCACCTTCCAGTGGATAATTGAGTAATAATATAAAATTTTAAAATATTTGATAAGGTAAATGAGGAAAATATCATCAGCACTACAGAACAAGTGGGAAAAATGTAGCTTACTTACTATGTTTCGGGAAGAACCAATTTTCTGAGGAAGTAGCAACTAAACAGTAAATTGAAGAAAGTTAAAGGAGTCAATCCTGCAGAGTGGAAGAAAACAGCCTCCAGAGAAATTAGTTAGTACGAAGACTAATCTAGCAAGATTTAGGGAATTTAAAGTATAGAAAGAGGAGAGCAGCACAGCTGAAGCACAGCAAGTGTTGGGAGACTGAAGGCCAATCCTGAAGGGCCCTTTAATCATGGTAAGACCTTTAGACTTTGGATGTTTTATAGTTCTAAGATTAATGAAAACTTATTCAAGGAGCATTTAGTTATTTCAGTGGAAATGGGCAAGATCTTTAATTTGTGGGGAACATATTAGAGAAGAACAAAAGTATAGGTATGAAAACTATTCAGAAAATAGTTATAGATAACTAACTGCTAGTAGTAAAGATGGTGGTGGGAGTGATACTAGTAGTAGTTGTTGTTTGTTGTAGAATAGTAGAGATCAACAATGATTATGATTCATTGAACCCAAAGAGAGTAAGAGAGTCCAAGATGTATTTTTGAGGTAAGATGACTTGTGATGTGGAAGATAGAGAAGGAATAATAGAGAACACCTATGTGTTTGCCTTGAGCGACTGGGTGGCTAACAGCACTATTTGCTGATGTATGGATCATGGGTTCAACAGATTTGAGGAAAAAGGCATACATACATTTCACTGTAGACATGTAGAGATGGTAAATAGCTGACTAGTCATACAAGTCTGGAGCTTAAGGACAAGTTCAGGCCATTGATAGAAACTTAGGAATCATTAGCCATAGGGCTGAATGTGTTATCTGGGGAGAAAGGACAGAATTAATGAAGAAGAACAAATTTTAGGGTATTCAAAATTGAGACGTCCAGAGATATCCAAGATATTTCTTGCAAAGAATACCTACATGGAGAAAACACAGTGGGACTGGTAGAAAAAGGAAAAAAAAAAAACCAAAAAAAAAAAAAACCAGAAAAGAGTCACCAAAGCCAAAAAAAAAAAAAAAAAAAGCAAAATTTTAAGGAGTAAATTGTAGACAAATCGGAAAAAAGGAACATATATAAAAAGGTATGTGTATTGGACTAGGAAATGTGAAGCAGCTTCATTAGCATAATGGGGAAGTA